CCCACTGAAGAGGTGCGACGATCCTAGACCTCGGAATAATCGATGCCAAGGGCTTCTCTTGTACCTCGGGAGAGTAGACTCGAGACAGAGCATCCGGCTTGACGTTCTTGGTGCCAGGTCGGTAAGTCAGGAGGAACTGGAATCGATTAAAGAAAAGAGACCATCGTGCTTGCCGAGGGTTCATCCGCTTAGCCTGTTGGAGATATTCCAGGTTCTTGTGGTCTGTGAGAACCTGGAAAGGGTGCTGAGCCCCCTCAAGCCAATGGCGCCACTCCTCCAAGGCCAGTTTTACCGCAAGCAACTCTAGATCCCCCACGTGGTAGTTGCGCTCGGCCTCAGACAGGCGGCGAGACATGAAGGCACAAGGGTGTAATCTCCCATCCGCACCCCTCTGTGACAGGACGGCTCCTACCCCCACTTCTGAGGCGTCCACCTCCACCACGAAAGGTCTTTCTGGGTCAGGGGTCACCAGAATCGGAGCAGAAGTGAAGCGGCGCTTGAGATCCTCGAAGGCCCCTGCTGCTTCCGGACCCCAGTGAATCTTGGTCCCTCCTCCCTTGGTAAGCGTCGTCAAGGGGGCTACCACCGAGCTGAAATTCTTGATGAACTTCCGATAGAAGTTAGAAAAGCCAATGAACCGTTGAACCTCCTTGACCGTGGCAGGTGTGGGCCAATCGTGGACCGCCTTGACCTTCTTGGGATCCATCTCTAGGTGCCCGGGAGTGACAATAAACCCGAGAAACTGAGTCTGAGAAACATGAAATTCACACTTCTCAGGCTTAACGTAGAGGTGATTGTCAAGGAGCCTCTGGAGAACCCGGCTAACATGCCCCTCATGCTCCTTCAGTGACCTCGAGAAGATGAGGATATCGTCCAGGTACACGAAGACGAACAGATTAAGCATATCCCGGAGAACATCATTAATCAGGGCTTGGAATACTGCGGGGGCATTGGTGAGCCCGAACGGCATCACCCGATATTCATAGTGCCCCGTGGGCGTGTTGAACGCCGTCTTCCATTCGTCTCCTGGCCGGATCCGCACGAGATGGTAAGCATTGCGGAGATCCAGCTTAGTAAAAATGGAAGCCCCTTGAAGCAGCTCAAAAGCAGTGGCCATGAGAGGAAGGGGGTATCGATTCCGAACCGTGATCTTGTTGAGTCCCCGGTAATCAATACAAGGCCTAAGACCCCCGTCTTTCTTTTCAACAAAAAAGAAGCCCGCCCCAGCCGGGGAAGTAGAGGCATAGATGAGGCCGGCTGCCAAGGACTCCTTAATGTAGGTGTCCATAGCTGCGTGCTCGGGGGAGGACAAGGAAAAGATCCGACCTCTAGGAGGGCAGCACCCAGGGAGTAGATCAATGGCACAGTCATACGTGCGATGAGGCGGTAAGGCAGTAGCCCGGGCCTTGCTGAACACTGCCTTGAACCGATGGTAAACACTGGGGACTCGGGAGACGTCAACAGACTCTTGAAATTGGGTACTAGGGGCTGAGGGACTCTGAAGCATGCAGGTGAGTTGGCAAGTGGGACCCCAGCTTAGAATAGTGCCAGTAGGCCAGTCGATCTGGGGATTATGTCTGCATAGCCAAGGGTGACCCAGGATAATAGGATACTCGGGAGAGTCAATGAGATAGAAGGTCTCCTCCTGCTGGTGTTGAGAGATGGTAAGTCGCAGGGACTGAGTCGCCTCAGTAACCTTTCCTGGTTCCAGAGGTCTGCCATCTAAGGCTGTAACTGCCTGGGGTTGAGGAAGTAGTTGGGTAGGGATCTTAAGTTCCTTCGCCAAGGTTACATCCATAAAATCACCTGCGGCACCGGAATCGATCATAGCCTGGACCCGATGCTGGTGGCCCTCCCAGGACAGAGTGGCTGGAATAGCTAGGACCGCGTTAGTAGGAGGAGCTCTAATTTTCCCCATCACAACCCTCCTGTAGCTGGGCGGGGACAGGCGTTTCCCGAAAGCTCGGGGCAAGTGGAGCGGAAGTGGCCGGCAACCCCGCAGTAGAGGCACCGACGCTCCCTCATGCGACGTTCCCTTTCGTTGGGAGAAAGCCTGGAACGGCCTAACTGCATGCTCTCCGGGGAATCCTGGGGCAGTTCAGGAGCCGGGGCAGCTCTGAATGACGGAGTCCAAACAGGAGAAACAGAGCTGCTCAGAGGAACTTGGGACTGAGACACCTGACGGCGAGCCGTTCTCCGCTCTCTTAGACGATTGTCCAGGCGGATGGCCAAGGCTATGAGGGACTCGAGATCTCCAGCTGGTTCTCGGGTGGCTAACTCATCTTGAAGGGGCTCAGATAACCCTCCCTGAAAGCAGACCCTCAGCGCTTCATCATTCCATCCGCTCCTTGCTGCTATGGTCCGGAAATCAATGGCAAAATCTGCCGTGCTTCGGGAGCCCTGACGGAGAGACAGTAGGCGCTTGGAAGCCTCCCGCCCACTGACAGGATGATCGAACACCCGCTTGAACTCTTCTACAAATGCAGCGTGGGAGTCACAACAGGCCTCCTGGGACTGCCACACCGCAGAAGCCCAGGCGAGCGCCTTTTCTGAAAGAAGGGTAATGATGTAGGCAATCTTGGAACGGTCTGTGGGAAAACTTGAGGGTTGGAGCTCGAAGGTGAGGGAGCATTGGGTGAGGAAACCCTGGCAAGAGCTTGGATTCCCAGAAAAGGGCTTGGGAGGTGGTAGTCGGGGCTCCGCCAACCGAGAAGGCCTGTCGTCACTGGGGGGTGACCTGGGGGAAGGGAGAGGACCAGGGAGGCGTTCAAAGAGCTGGCGAAGGGCACTCATCATTTCGGCCAAGAGTTGAGAATGACTAGCCATCAGCTCCTCTTGTCGGCTGAGAACGGCTTCATGGCGCTGGAAAGAAGCCTCGTGTCGAGTGATCACCGCCAACAGGTCCTGGGAACTGAGTGTTTCTGGGTCCATGATTGACTTGGTTATTCTGTCACAAGCCGGGCTAGAACTCCGGTCTCAGATGTGTAGAGCTGGGGGTACTACCCCTTAGCCACAGAGGAGATGTTGTAGGACCCAAATGAAACACCCAAGGCAATACTCCAGGCAAGTAGATTTAATGTTCCAAAACAGGAGGCAAAACAAAACAACTCCACGAGGGGAGAAAAACAAACTAAAGATAACTTCGAACAACTTACTAGGACTGACACGGTGGGACAAAGCAGGAGATACATAGTCAGGACGCAATAACCAAGTGAGAAACAAGGGGAAAACACACAGCTAAAATACTAAAGGGAAAACAAGGCACAGGTGACCTGGATCAAACTAATGAGGACACATGAGGAAGAACAAAGGCAGAGGGGAACACAGCTGACCTCTAGAGGCCAGGAGACGAACAGGAGAAGCAGGAAGCTGACACCCCTTAAGAGGCATTAGAAGAAGACAAAAAGGATCCATCAAAGCATTTGGTGTGTCATCATAGTGGTCTCTGATTGGTGGTCATCATAGTGGTCTCTGATTGGTGGTCATCATAGTGGTCTCTGACTTGTGGTCAGACTCGCTCAGGTGGAACAAACTTAAACTTGCACCTTTTTTCAATGCTGATTTGAATGTAATTGAGAAAATAAAATATGTCCAAATATTTTTTTGTTTCGCAAACATCCTTTCTGAATTTAAAGGTAATCCAAGAAGTAATCATCTACAGTAGTTTTTTTTAAGTATCTGTAATCTGATGACAATCTTTTTGCTGGTAACATAACTGATGACATGTAATCAGTTACTCCCCAACCCTGTGTGCATGCATTCGTATGTGTGTGAGTGAGAAAGAGAGAGAGAGAGAGGGAATCTTGTTGCCATCACATAAAATCAAAGTGTATTGATCGCGTACACAGATTTACATATGTTAGTGCAGGTGCAGTGAAAAGCTTGTGTTTCTAGCTCCAACAGTGCAGTAATACCTAGCAATACAAAACAATACCCACATAATCCAAAAAGTAAAATAAAGAAATTAAGAAATATCAGAAAGAGCAATATCAGAACGAGCAATGTCAGAGTAAAATGGTAAGACTTATGACACAGGAAGTCTCTCCCCGCTAATGTTAGCCTAGTGTCGTATCCAATGCCCATATAACGTCACACACCCAAACACACAAGAGGGGTTGCTAGCCTAATAGATTAGCGCTTTGCTAATACCTCTCTGACAGGGTTTAAGGAAGAGCCAGGTGGCACCTGGTAGGACACCCCCCTCAGATAAAGTCTGTCCATCTGTCTACCTCTCTTCCTCCCTTCTTTATATGTTAGATGAAAGACATAGAGGGGCACTTCGAGGCAAATCTCCACCCCAGGGGGTATTGATTAAAGCTCAGTGTTTGGGGTGAGATAATGAAGCACAGGGCAATGTGGTAGCATAAGGCTTGAGTACATTAAAACTGAAAACACCAAGTGCCGTTGGAAAGTTTATGATATCTTTTGGACTTGTTTTAAAACTCCAAAATATATCCATATTGATAGCAATTGAACTCACTGACCTCAGTTGTGTTTGAGAGAGAGAACTAGAGAAGAAGAAGAAGAAGAAGAAGAAGAAGAAGAAGAAGAAGAAGACGAAGAAGAAGAAGAAGAAGAAAGAGAGAGAGAGAGAGAGAGAGAGAGAGAGAGAGAGAGAGAGAGAGAGAGAGAGAGAGAGAGCAAGCAAGAGAATACTTTTAAAAATTATAATAGCAGGTTTATGTGCCCAAAATTATCCTACATGTAATAAGTCGGCTATATGCTGTACATATGTAACATTGTATCCCTCTCTTTGAAAATATGACAACAGCAGTAGCGCCACCCTAACAACTAATTCAGTTGCCAAACGTTCTATAACGTTGGAGATAGAAACCATGAATAGAGCCGATGTGATTCCTTATTCTACACGTCAGAGAGGCATGTTTGCTCTACAGATGATAGCCTATGTCTATCTGAACATTCCAAAACGTTTGGTCCTGCTGAACGCACCCCAGTCTCAGCCCAGCTCAGCGCGCACCTCCTTAGCGGCATAATGCATTCCTGTTGCAAAATCCACTGGGAAATAGGGCTAGACCATTCCATCCTTCGGGATCCTCATTATATTCTAACACAAGAACATTTAAAGACGACAGGGAAAATAGGATTTTTGTAATGCTAATTAATTTCGTTCGGAAGAAGAGGCCCTACTCTTTCATGTTGATATTATTTTTTAGATTTCTCCACCCCCTCTTCATTGGAATGGTTGTTCCTTCACACTGCCTGCCGTGCCATGTTGGATGGATGTATCGATGTTGCAGCTGGAGTTCCGAATGAAAGTTTAGAATTTGCCCTATGCAAAGATTGGGGTTACCACGGATTGTTCGAGGCCCCTGGGGCATGGTGACGCTGTTATTCAACAACCGGGATCCAGAAATATTTCATTTTGCAGGCCTCTAGCTACCTTAGAAACAACGTAATGAGATGATGCAGTTGCAGGCCATGGTGACCAAAGACTGCACGAATTTTATGTAATATTCAAGAGTAAAACAGTTAATTTTGTTTATCTGGAAATTATTTGAGAACATGAATAGCCATCCTCCGCAACGGCGGGTTGGAAATATTGGTTCCATACTCCTCACCCCGCAAGAGAACGAATGCCTCTTCAACTACCTGGGCAGGAAATGCATTGTAAGTTGTCTTGTTTACGACCACGCTAAGCTCTCAAATGCAATTTATCTACCTGCAACTTTGCGAAAATATTGTGTTAGGCTATTTGCAAACTGTTCGTGTACTGTTATGTAGGCTAACGTTAGGCAATAGCCTGGCTGCAGGCCGATAAGACCCATAACAGCTCAGCAGCTTTTTCCATGGCTTTGCTGGAAAGATGCAGGGCAGACTATGGGCAAGCAGAGCTGTTTGCCTGTCAAAGGGATTTGCTGTCAAGAAATTGGCTTGGAAATGTGAACCTTTGCCCCTGACCTATTAGTTTACCCCTGTATGTAAACAGAGATGCAAACGTCACTATTATAATGCAGCGCATGCCCCATAATTAATAAACATAGCCGATACAACGTTGACCTAATGTTGCAAGCGACTGTGTGTGTTATAAATTGACTGCACTGCTGCTCATGTATTAAGTACTGCCTACTGACGCACTGCAGTCTGGAATTTTTGCACTTCAGTATTTTGTTTTAGTTTGACAGACATTGCAACATCCCGAGGGAAGACATTAGCTTGTGTGTTTGCACAATAGGGAATATGGTCAGAACTAGCCCAATAATGGACAAAAGGAGCCTAACGTTAATCCTTATAGTCCAAGGACCATGTTCTGTTTAGAGGTGAATTGTCTCTGGCAGCCAAAACAGCCAACTCCATCTAAACGGGAATCTTGCGGTACGGTTCTAGAAACATAAAGCCCTCTACGTGCAAAATATACACAGTTTTAACAGTTGCAGCTGACAGTATATTTCAGTGACAACACGTTTGTGGCGTCCATCTTCCGTTTACACACTGTTGTTCACATATGCAGTTAGCTAATTAGCACAGGTATGACTGTCTTCCATCTGTTTTCCGTAAACAAGCTCTGTAACATGGAAATATGAACCCCAAAACAATAAAGTTGTGTAGTAATTTGTCCTTTAAAAAAGAAAAAAATCCTTGCTGATATGAAAAATATACTGAACAAAAATATAAACGCAACAATTTCAAAGATTTTATTGTTACAGTTCATATAAGGAAATCAGTCAATTGAAATAAATTAATTAGACCCTAATCTATGGACTTCACATGACTGGGCAGGGGTGCAGCCATGGGTGGGTCTATGCCCTCCCAGGCCCACCCATGGCTGCACCACTGCCCAGTCATGTGAAGTCCATAGATTAGGCCCTAATGAATCAGCCAATCAGAATGAGTTTTTCTCCACAAAAGGGCTTTATTACAGACAGATATACTCCTCAGCCCCCCCCAGACGATCACACAGGTGAAGAAGTGGTGTTTTATTGTCCCCAGCACAAGGTGCACCTGTGTAATGATCATGCTGTTTAATCCGCTTCTTGATATACCACCCCTGTCAGGTGGATGGATTATCTTGGCAAAGGAGAAATGATCTCTAACAGGAATACAAACAAATTTGTGGCCGACATTTGAGAAATAAGCTTTTTGTGCGTATGGAAAATGTCTGGGATTTTTTTATTTCAACTCGTGAAACATGAGACCAACACTTTACATGTTGTGTTTATATTTTTGTTCAGTGTACATTCCTTATCTTTCCAAAACGGTACCTTAAGCAATGCGTTTTAACTTTCAGAAGAAGTGTCAGCGCTCTTAACAAAACTCCCCTGGCCAGAAGATGCTATCGTCAATAGGCGCTAAAGGTAGTTAGCGTCTGTGAATGGGTTAGGTCAGAACATACATATGTTCCCAATGCTGAAGGCTAAGAAGGTATTTGTGAAAGTCAAATCAGTTTATTCTTGAGAAGCTGCATTAGATGAACAAAAGTGTAAAATGACAAGCCAGTGGAAAGACTACCATAACCTACAGTACCCTGTCCAGATAAATAACATTATTTTAGGGGCAGCACCACATGCCAAAGTCAAAGCTGAGTGTCTAGTAAGACAGAGCCATTGCTGGATGTGTGTTCTGTCTATCCCATAAGCTTTTTCCTACCATGGGATTTGGGAACATTTAGACTTAGCCTATGGTCTGGCCAGTGACCTTTCCTGTGTTATGATGAGGTGTGAGTATGGGGCGTGAAGTGCTTCCTCGTGTTCTCTCTCTCGTACCCGCAATAATAAATCATAGAAGAGGAAGAGGAAGCAAGCCGGAGTGGTATTTCCTCTTCCTTGTGGTCTCCTTAGTGATTTCCACAGGTCGCTCTGTGTCCATGGTGACAGAAAACCAAGCTCTGGATTGTGTGGCCACTGGCTATGTCTATCATTCTCTATCGGGTCTGCTCAGGGTGTCTGATTTGCAAACCTTGTACTATATGTTCCCGGGGCATCTAATCAGTGTTTCTTGTTCGTGGATGTGTTCCTCTTCCTCTATACTGTCATAACCTACTCATTGGCCCCTAGAGGCATTCCACTAGTTAGGCTTGTTAACAAGGGGTCCCATGTAACAAGTTGTTGAATGTAGTCAGTTTCGTGAAGAAAAAAGTGATGTGCAGTCCAACGCTGCACTTTTTAATCACATTTTATTAACATAGAGATGTGATAAACGGCACTGTGAAACATTTCACACGCTCTAAATGTGTCACTATAGGGTTTTTTACTTTGCTGTAAGTAACGCTCACACACGGCCATTGTGATGTTGTCCTCAGACCCTGTGCACAGCGGTGGTCCAGGTGTATGGGGCAGACAGGAGCTCGTCCTGGGTGAAGAGGTGCTGCGGAGTGGCCTGTCTGATCAAGGATAACCCTCTGAGGTCCTACTTCATCAGGGTCTTTGACATCAAGGTGAATGAGTGCATTAGATGGAGGATGGTTGAAGCTAGCCTAGCCTCACTAGCTTAATACCTTTCCTGAGGAAATCCCTCTCTGTGCTGCCAATATAGGAATTTCAGTGACTGTTATTTCTCTCTTGTCAGGAAGGGAAAACCATGTTTGAACAGGAGCTCTACAATAACTTCTCAATCAACAGCTCGAGGTCGTATTTCATTTCGTTCGCAGGAGATGTAAGTATACTATCTCCGCTTGAAAGCGTGTGGACCCAAAATAGACAGTGTCTTTATAAAATGACTGATCTCTCTTTCCCCTCTCTATCTCCAGAACTGCCAGGTAGGCCTGAACTTCGCTAGCGAGGAAGAGGCCAAGCGATTTAGAGCTGCACTGAAAGACCTACTCGGCAGACGGCAACGTAAAACGGGTAACTACAGTGGCCCCGCGGGCTCAGTCTACACTACCTCTGCTTTCTCATCACCTCAGCCTTTGACCCCCTGGACAGGGGAAGTAAAGAAAGCACCAATTTATCTCCCTGCTCTACTACTAACAAGCCCACAGGGCCCAATCCCGAATCAACACATAATTTTGCCTTAGACGTATCTTGTAACTCTGCGAGGGGGTTCATTTGGGGTCAACAAGGGTCTAGGAATGGGTTTGGAATTGAGCCATGCGTCAGTTTTTCTGCTGGTTGCTGTTGGAAAGTCAGTGGTATGTCTGTCTAGTAAAAACAGCAGAGGGTCTCTCTGTGTTAAAGGCTGTGATGTTCCTCTCTGGCTTCCCTCAATATCGCTCTGTTCCTCTCTGCTTGCCAGCCTTTGAAGTGTGCTGCTCTTGCTGTGAGGAGTGAGTTTCCAAAGACATGGGGCTGGGAAAGGGACTACTGTAATGGTATGTTAGGGACAGCTAGTTTATTTCTCTACTGTTTTTCCACTACAATTTTTTTTGTCTTTGCATCTTTTCTGAACTTGCAACAATTTATCCTCCGCCCAGGGTCTGAATGGAACTGCCATTCTCTCTCGCCTGCAGTGGCTACCTTTCCACAGACTTCCATCCTATTTCAGTCTGTCCATCTGACTCTCATAAACTAACTCTGAACACTTTCCAAACACTTTGATTCTCCTTTCACACTTCCATATACACTCTCTATCGCTCTGATAGCTGTGGCTATTGCCTCCTGAATTGGCTGCGAAATTATAATTGTGCCCGTTTTTGTTTTGCAGAGAAAAGACGCGACCCTGCAAATGGTATGTTGTCCATTCTTTGAATTGTACCGATTTTTATAGTCCAAATGTTGATCTTCAACATGTTGTAGTGGGACACAATCCTTTGTTATTTTACTTTTAAAAAGCATAAGTCTCCTATAATCCGTCAGGCAAAATCAAATGTATAGTAGTATACATGTATGTACACACACACACACCCCTTTGCGATATGGCATGATAAGACGGGTCAGTTCCTTTAAAGAAATAGGCTAAATCAAATTCGTATGAGTACACATCCATGTGTACACACACACATGCACTCACTCTGAGTATGACTCTGTTGACACTGTAATGTTTAGCCCTAACATCGGGCTTTAGGGTTAATCTGTTGTGCAGCATGGGGCCTCCTGTGTGCCATGTGCAAACCACATGGGTCTCTCAGTGCATGTCCAACTGCCAACTCTCTCTCTCTCTTTAAATCAACCTTCTCACAGAGACTTGTATACAGCATACCTTAAATTGAATGTACTAATCGGCTGAAATCTAACTTCACATCCACCTACATTTGAATGCAAATGGACCCAAATGTAGGGATCCTATAGAAGGACTATTCTCCATGGTGAAAGGATATTGTTTGGGATATGTCAGTCCCATTATTGAGTGTGAAACTAACAAGACGACACATTTGCCCTAGATTCGCTCTTTGCTTTGGGAGCTTCCCTCCCCTCCTTCAATATGTTCATTTTGTTTTCCTTGTCGTAATTCACTGTCATGTTGGCAGTGTGTGCTTTGGGAAAGGAAGCACTTGAATATTTATTGATATTGAATGATTACATTTATTAGATTTCTGAAGCCTAAAATGGACGGGAGGACAACCATTAGCGTAGACTGTCAATCATTGACTTACGTACAGCCAAACGGCTACATCTGAATGGTACCACTGCATGGATTCTTTGCAAGTTCTCCATTGAAAGCTCCCAATGAAGTGGAAAGATTAGGGTAAACGTGTCTCAAGGCGAGGGATCTTTCAAAGTCATACATGCATGTCCTCGTCGATAGCTGAGACTTCTAACATTTGTAGGGAATCCAAGGATTTGGTTGGGATTAGCTGTGGATTACTGATTATGTCAGATCCAACTGCATTTTGTGGAGATTAACTTGGACTCAAGGAGTGTGCTTAAATGCCTGGACTGGGGAAGTTTGACCACAGCCATGTACTGAGAGTTTGTGTGACTGACGGGTTGAACACGGGTCATCTGCATTCCAGAAGACTGTGTTAGCCCACTGATCTGAAGCCTAACCTAGGTCTCAGGCAAGGTAATTCATCATGCAAGAGTAGTTAACAGACCTAGCTCCGATACAGTTGGCCGTTGCAGTTTCAATCAGATGGCGTTATTATTATGAAGTTCCTAAACATCATCCATAGCAGCCATGTTGGTGCCTCCTGGGTAATATTGACCAATAACAGTCCAAAGAATTAGCAGAATTTTAAACCAAGTGCTAGATGTTCAACATGAATGGATGAAATTAATTGTCCAAGGCAGAAACATGGCTCCCAGCTCTGAAGTTGACCAAAACTGTCTTTGTGTGACTCTGGGTTTGACTTAACTGATGTCACCTAAATTACAACAAACACACACACACACCGGGAGGACAAACACTGGATTTCCACCAGATTTATTATTTTAGTTGTTTAGTCTGTGAAAGACTGCTGTGCTATTGGCTGGCCTAGCCACAGGCAGTTTGAGAGCCTCACCGGTCGGTTAGTCCATTGGTCTTCCCAACGTTGTATCATCTGGATGGAACAAGGATGTATTGCACAACCTCTTTATCAAGTCTGTCTTTATCGGAGTCATAGGACAGTGAGTTGAAGTTGGAAGACTGGTTGGGTCTGCTTGGGTGTTCAGTGCTGCTTGTGGATGGGTTTTATATGCCGTTGTCCTGCCCTTGTCCTTTTGAGGAAGAGGAGGAGGAGGAGTGTGTGGTGCTAAAAGAACTGAGGATTAAGAACTGGCAGAGAGAGGTGTTTAACGGTAGGTTTGTCGTCAAGCAGATCCCATTTCAATTCTAGTGAATTAAGAAATGAATGCACATGATTGACATTGATGTAAAAAAAAATTGCATTAATGTAAAACCTTTCGCTAATCTGAATTAGAATTTAAATGGATTGTATACTGACTGTTGTTTGGAACCCCAGGACACGCTGGTGTTAGGGTTCTAGAAATTCACAAAGGTCCTGGCATGTGTGTAGTGGACAATTAGTGCCCTCTGTTAGTTGTCTTTACACTATCTTGAAATAGTTCTAAATACATCGAAAGACTAGTGTTTTATTGTGTGTGGTCCTGCATTGTCAGCTGTGAGATTGACCTGTCCTGTCCTTTCCCTTGTCGTTTCAAATTATGTTTAAAAAAAGATAGTGATATTGATGGGTTTTAGACTACCATAGTCACAACACAGACCAAGTTATACAGTAGGCTTTTTACTGCCAGTCAAGTATGCAAATTAATGTTACTCTCGAGTCGCTTATGAATAATGAAAAAGGGTCCCACTCATTTTGTGAGAGCTTCCCAGCACTGGTTCTGAGCTTCTAGTTCTAACAGTTTCTCCCTTTCTTCCTTCTCTCCCTCCTCCTTCTCTCCCTCCTCCTAAAGGCCCAGCTCTCCCTATGGCCACGGTTGACATCAAGAACCCGGAGATCAACAATGTGCGCTTCCACAACTCCCACCACCACCACCATCATCACCAGCAGCAGCCCCAGCCACACCACGTCAACAACATGCTGCACAGCAGCTTCAGCAAGAAGGAGAAGAAAGTGAAGGGCAAGAGGAAGAAGCTCACCAAGGCAGACATAGGCACCCCCAGCAACTTCCAGTGAGTGGACCACCCTTCCGTCTAGAGTACACTTCAGACGGGTCTGTGTAGAGAAATGTAGCGCAGCAGGAGTTTTCCTGTATGTATGTTCTGTGAAGTTGTGTAACGTATTGAGCTTGTCACTCACGTTTGAGGGCGTGCTTCATTGTGTCTTGTGAACCTCTTCAATGGCTCAATTGTGTTTGTGTGCATTCAGAATTGTGCCCGTGCATGTGTGCGTGCACAAGCCAGTGGGTTTACATGAGGGTCTGTGCTTACACGTGTTTGTTGCTGCTTGTGCAATGCGCAGCCGCACACGTGTTTGTGAACTGACTTGTGTGTGGGTACACGTATGTATGTGCTCATCCCTGTCTGTCCTGTGTGTCTCTCTTCAGGCACATCGGCCATGTGGGCTGGGACCCAAACACAGGCTTCGATGTGAGTAACTCCCCCCCCCCCCACACACACATACACACACCGGACCCTTCATGGGCACACAATGGTGACCTGTGTGGCCGACCCATGATTGACCCACACAATGGCCTCTGTTGGATACAGCGCATACTTATCATACACCCAATGCTGTCATACAAGCCCCTCTTGCAACCCCGAATATTCCAGAAAATTGTTTGTCACTGTTTTGGGCAGCTATGCTTCAAAAAAGTAAAGTGGTTTTTCCAATATTAGAAAAACCAAATAGGGAAAAAAATTGACACAACTAGACAGGATAACTGACACAAAGAACCCAGCTGACTACAAGGGACAATGACACCAAAGAACACAGCTGAGACTACAAGGGACAAGGACAACAAGGAACACAGCTGACACTACAAGGGACAAGGACACTAAAGAACACAGCTGACACTACAAGGGACAAGGACACTAAAGAACACAGCTGACACTACAAGGGACAAGGACACTAAAGAACACAGCTGACACTACAAGGGACAAGGACACTAAAGAACACAGCTGACACTACAAGGGACAAGGACACTAAAGAACACAGCTGACACTACAAGGGACAAGGACACTAAAGAACACAGCTGACACTACAAGGGACAAGGACACCAAAGAACACGGCTGACACTACAAGGGGAACACAGCTGAGACTACAAGGGACAAGGACAACAAGGAACACCGCTATGAACAGAAAGACTTCCTAAAGAGAAAGGTCTTTAGGCCATTTTAAAGGAGCCCAGAGTCTGTGGTGCCTTCAGGTAGTCTGGGAGGGCATTCCAGAGGCTGGGGGCGGTCTAGCTGAAAGCCCGATCCCCCAAGGAGCGGCACTTAGTCCTGGGGGCGTGGAGGAGCAGGCTATCGCTTGACCTGAGGGTGCGGGTGGGGTTATGGAGGGAGAGCAGTTCTTTGAGATAAGGAGGGGTATTGCCATGAATACACTGGAAAGTCAGCAGGAGGGTTTTGAATTCAATCCGGAATGAGACGGAGGAAGACATTTGAATCTGCAGTCAGTGATGCATGTCACTAAGAACCAAGTGGACCACAGAGCTCGTTAATGTACAGAATACAGTCTGTTTTAATGACAGTAATGAGCATGACTGATTGAACCCCATTCCCTTGGGCTTAATTGCATGTCTATTTACTTGACTAATCATGCATACAGAAGTATCACGCACACTCTTTCATGCCAAAGCAAAAAATACTAACTGCAGAGATCAGAGGGGTTTGAAGATATGGACGATTTGATTTTAATGTTTACACAAGTATTACACAATTATGATTGAACAAACACAAAGTAGACAGTTAAAGGCCATGTGTTGTGTCGTGCGCACAACCTGGTGCAATACCCCTTTTCATCCAGAAGATGGCAGAATGGCACTTAGATTGACAAAATAATTTGATTCTTGCCGGCTCTATATTAAGTTTTATAAGTTAAATGGAATTGGCATTGCATTTTTGTATTTGGCAGGCCATGGTTATATGTACAGCGTAATTGTAGCCATTTTCAAAACACTACAGATTCCATCCGCTCTGGATAAAATGCCAAGAAAAACAAAGATCTGTCTGTTTTGAATTGTGTGCTGATCCGGTCTTTCGCTATCTCTATTTCTCTGCCCCAGTTGAATAACCTGGACCCGGAGCTAAAGAACCTGTTTGACATGTGTGGCATCTCAGAGGCCCAGCTGAAGGACAAGGAGACCTCCAAGGTTATCTACGACTTCATCGAAAAGAAAGGAGGGGTGGAGGCCGTCAAGAACGAGCTCCGTAGGCAAGGTGAGCTCACCTGAACCATCCTCTGAGTTCCTTGTATCTCAAGCAATGATGTATATAAACCCTGGATTGCTGATGCTATGTATTGGCAATTGAAAAGCTTTGAAGCTACCAGTCGGCCATATTGGCTCTCCCCAGTAGGAGCATTTCTCCATAGGAATGAAGCTCAATTGGTAGAGCATGGCGCTTGTAACGCCAGGGTAGTGTGTTCGATCCCCGGGACCACCCATACACAAAGAATGTATGCACGCATGACTAAGTCGCTTTGGATAAAAGCGTCTGCTAAATGGCATATTATTATTATTATTATTATTATTATTATATTATAATAATTCTACAGTATTTCAATTAAATGTTTCAAGGACAAAATAACATGTATTTAAGTATGTTGTTGTTGTAGTGTGGACAGTAACATTAGTCATCTTAAAAATACATACAGTGGGGAAAAAAGTATTTAGTCAGCCACCAATTGTGCAAGTTCTCCCACTTAAAAAGATGAGAGAGGCCTGTAATTTTCATCATAGGTACACGTCAACTATGACAGACCAATTGAGGAAAAAAAATCCAGAAAATCACATTGTAGGATTTTTAATGAATTTATTTGCAAATTATGGTGGAAAATAAGTATTTGGTCAATAACAACAAAAGTTTCTCAATACTTTGTTATATACCCTTTGTTGGCAATGACACAGGTCAAACGTTTTCTGTAAGTCTTCACAAGGTTTTCACACACTGTTGCTGGTATTTTGGCCCATTCCTCCATGCAGATCTCCTCTAGAGCAGTGACGTTTTGGGGCTGTCGCTGGGCAACACGGACTTTCAACTCCTTCCAAAGATTTTCTATGGGGTTGAGATCTGGAGACTGGCTAGGCCACTCCAGGACCTTGAAATGCTTCTTACGAAGCCACTCCTTCGTTGCCCGGGCGGTGTGTTTGGGATCATTGTCATGCTGAAAGACCCAGCCACGTTTCATCTTCAATGCCCTTGCTGATGGAAGGAGGTTTTCACTCAAAATCTCACGATACATGGCCCCATTCATTCTTTCCTTTACACGGATCAGTCGTCCTGGTCCCTTTGCAGAAAAACAGCCCCAAAGCATGATGTTTCCACCCCCATGCTTCACAGTAGGTATGGTGTTCTTTGGATGCAACTCAGCATTCTTTGTCCTCCAAACACGACGAGTTGAGTTTTTACCAAAAAGTTCTATTTTGGTTTCATCTGACCATATGACATTCTCCCAATCCTCTTCTGGATCATCCAAATGCACTCTAGAAAACTTCAGACGGGCCTGGACATGTACTGGCTTAAGCAGGGGGACACATCTGGCACTGCAGGATTTGAGTCCCTGGCGGCGTAGTGTGTTACTGATGGTAGGCTTTGTTACTTTGGTCCCAACTCTCTGCAGGTCATTCACTAGGTCCCCCCGTGTGGTTCTGGGATTTTTGCTCACCGTTCTTGTGATCATTTTGACCCCACGGGGTGAGATCTTGCGTGGAGCCCCAGATCGAGGGAGATTATCAGTGGTCTTGTATGTCTTCCATTTCCTAATAATTGCTCCCACAGTTGATTTCTTCAAACCAAGCTGCTTACCTATTGCAGATTCAGTCTTCCCAGCCTGGTGCAGGTCTACAATTTTGTTTCTGGTGTCCTTTGACAGCTCTTTGGTCTTGGCCATAGTGGAGTTTGGAGTGTGACTGTTTGAGGTTGTGGACAGGTGTATTTTATACTGATAACAAGTTCAAACAGGTGCCATTAATACAGGTAACGAGTGGAGGACAGAGGAGCCTCTTAAAGAAGAAGTCACAGGTCTGTGAGAGCCAGAAATCTTTCTTGTTTGTAGGTGACCAAATACTTATTTTCCACCATAATTTGCAAATAAATTCATAAAAAATCCTACAATGTGATTTTCTGGATTATTTTTTCTCAATTTGTCTGTCATAGTTGACGTGTACCTATGATGAAAATTACAGGCCTCTCTCATCTTTTTAAGTGGGAGAACTTGCACAATTGGTGGCTGACTAAATACTTTTTTCCCCAATGTACTTTAAGGAAAATATATTTATATATATATATTTTAATGTTTCTCACATATAATTTAAAAGTATGCATTATGGTGTCTGTAACAGAATCAATCAATCAATCAATCAAATGTATTTATAAAGCCCTTTTTACATCAGCAGATGCCACAAAGTGCTATACAGAAACCCAGCCTAAAACCACAAACAGCAAGCAATGCAGATGTAGAAGCATGGTGGCTAGGAAAAACTCCCTAGAAAGGCAGAAACCTAGAGAGGAACCAGGCTCTGAGGGGTGGCCAGTCCCCTTCTGGCAGTGCCGGGTGGAGATTATAACAGTACATGGCCATTAAGGCCAGATTTTTCTCCAAGATGTTCAAACCTTCATAGATGACCAGCAGGGTCAAATAATAATCACAGTGGTTGCAACAGGTCAGTACATTAGGAGTTAATGTCACTTGGCTTTTCATAGCCAGGCATTTATAAATGTGGCAAAAACTAATGTAGATATTAATAAATGCAATGCTATCCACCTCATTTTCGAAAGCTTTTAAAACACGGAAGCCAAACAAAGCCCAACAAATTTGAAGTCTTGGAATGGCCTAGTCAAAGTCCAGACCTAATCCCAATTGAGATGTTGTGGCAGGACTTGAAATGAGCAGTTCATGCTTGAAAACCCCAAAAAGCAGCTGAGTTAAAGCAGTTCTGCATGCAACAGTGTGCCAAAATTCCTCCACAGCGATGTAAGAGACTGATCAACAACTACAGGAAGCATTTGGTTGCAGTCATTGCAGCTAAAGGTTGCACAACCAGTTATTGAGTATAAAGGGGCAATTACTTTTTCACACAGGGGAATTGGGTGTTGCATAACTTTGTTAATTAGCAACAAGCCGATGACATGCTGTAGGCCTAAAAGATGCACAGGCTCAAAGGCGTTTGTTGTTGAATTGCTACATTTAAATACACATTACTATATTATTTTTCATTAGGCCTATATGTAAATCAGTGGCGGTCAGTGCCGTTTAAGATGAGGTAGGACCTTTTTTTTTTTTTCATGAGCATGGCCTTATTTCTATTACAGCATATTGGATGACTCTCATTCATATTCCATTCACCCAGTTCAATGTAACAGAGATAAGTTTAGGCTACTACATGATACTAACATTTTCCCTATACCCATCATGAGGTTGCTACAACATAGCCTATGAATGAAAGTTTACAGCGTAGGTGCACACAGGTCGAGAGATTTGAGGTGACAATTCAATACCGCCTGTGGCCTAGCCAGTCTCCAGACCTTAATCCCATAGAAAATCTGTGGAGGGAGCTGAAGGTTCGAGTTGCCAAACGTCAGCCTTGAAACCTTAATGACTTGGAGAAGATCCGCAACGAGGAGTGGGCCAAAATCCCTCCTGAGATGTGTGCAAAACTGGTGGCCAACTACAAGAAACGTCTGATTGCCAACAAGGGTTTTGCCACCAAGTACTAAGTCATGTTTTGCAGAGGGGTCAAATACTTATTTCCCTCATTAAAATGCAAATCAATTTATAACATTTTTGACATGCGTTTTTCTGGAATCTTTTGCTGTTACAGTGGGGAAAAAAAGTATTTAGTCAGCCACCAATTGTGCAAGTTCTCCCACTTAAAAAGATGAGAGAGGCCTGTAATTTTCATCATAGGTACACGTCAACTATGACAGACAAATTGAGAAAAGAATTCCAGAAAATCACATTGTAGGATTTTTAATGAATTTATTTGCAAATTATGGTGGAAAATAAGTATTTGGTCACCTACAAACAAGAAAGATTTCTGGCTCTCACAGACCTGTAACTTCTTCTTTAAGAGGCTCCTCTGTCCTCCACTCGTTACCTGTATTAATGGCACCTGTTTGAACTTGTTATCAGTATAAAATACACCTGTCCACAACCTCAAACAGTCACACTCCAAACTCCACTATGGCCAAGACCAAAGAGCTGTCAAAGGACACCAGAAACAAAATTGTAGACCTGCACCAGGCTGGGAAGACTGAATCTGCAATAGGTAAGCAGCTTGGTTTGAAGAAATCAACTGTGGGAGCAATTATTAGGAAATGGAAGACATACAAGACCACTGATAATCTCCCTCGATCTGGGGCTCCACGCAAGATCTCACCCCGTGGGGTCAAAATGATCACAAGAACGGTGAGCAAAAATCCCAGAACCACACGGGGGGACCTAGTGAATGACCTGCAGAGAGCTGGGACCAAAGTAACAAAGCCTACCATCAGTAACACACTACGCCGCCAGGGACTCAAATCCTGCAGTGCCAGACGTGTCCCCCTGCTTAAGCCAGTACATGTCCAGGCCCATCTGAAGTTTGCTAGAGTGCATTTGGATGATCCAGAAGAGGATTGGGAGAATGTCATATGGTCAGATGAAACCAAAATATAACTTTTTGGTAAAAACTCAACTCGTCGTGTTTGGAGGACAAAGAATGCTGAGTTGCCTCCAAAGAACACCATACCTACTGTGAAGCATGGGGGTGGAAACATCATGCTTTGGGGCTGTTTTTCTGCAAAGGGACCAGGACGACTGATCCGTGTAAAGGAAAGAATGAATGGGGCCATGTATCGTGAGATTTTGAGTGAAAACCTCCTTCCATCAGCAAGGGCATTGAAGATGAAACGTGGCTGGGTCTTTCAGCATGACAATGATCCCAAACACACCGCCCGGGCAACGAAGGAGTGGCTTCGTAAGAAGCATTTCAAGGTCCTGGAGTGGCCAGGCCAGTCTCCAGATCTCAACCCCATAGAAAATCTTTGGAGGGAGTTGAAAGTCCGTGTTGCCCAGCGACAGCCCCAAAACATCACTGCTCTAGAGGAGATCTGCATGGAGGAATGGGCCAAAATACCAGCAACAGTGTGTGAAAACCTTGTGAAGACTTACAGAAAACATTTGACCTGTGTCATTGCCAACAAAGGGTATATAACAAAGTATTGAGAAACTTTTGTTGTTATTGACCAAATACTTATTTTCCACCATAATTTGCAAATACATTCATTAAAAATCCTACAATGTGATTTTCAGGATTTTTTTTTCTCATTTTGTCTGTCATAGTTGACGTGTACCTATGATGAAAATGTCAGGCCTTTCTCATCTTTTTAAGTGGGAGAACTTGCACAATTGGTGGCTGACTAAATACTTTTTTCCCCCACTGTATTCTGTCTCTCACTGTTAAAATAAACCTACCATTAAAATGATAGACTGATCATTTCTTTGTCAGTGGGCAAACGTACAAAATCAGCAGGGGATCAAATATTTTTTCCCTCACTGTATATAAATCATTGATCTCAAGTATCAAGGAGGCCACCCACTGTGAATGTGATGAACTTCCTTGTAACTCTGAAGTTAATGAAGTCAATGGTTAGAATGCACTCCACTGGTAATGAGATGGTGAAAGCCAGGCGAGGCTTATTCATGTGGTCTTTTCCCAGGGCCGCCCAGGTGGTGTGGTAGGTAACTATCGGTGTGTTTCCATAGAGTGGTGGTTGGTGTGTTTCTGCCTCAGGTGTTGACTGTGTGAACTTTGACCTGCATAACCGGGTAAAGCCAACTGCTGTTTGGTTTGTCTGAATTTAAAATGAACAGAATTGAAAGGCTATAATGTAAAATGTTGCCAGAAGTGAATTTCTGAGCTTCTGAATTGTCAATGGTTGCCATGTTGCTGTGCTGTTGGGAGGGGGGCCGGGGGGTTTGGCTGTGGAGTGATTTTAGACAGAGTATCTGGATGACAGGGTTTGAATTGCACATGAACTCTTGGGGGGTAACTTATAATTGGGAACAATGTTTTTGGGATGCATGCACAAGTTATTTTCAGTGCTTATAAAGTGAGAGAGCCCTGAATTGTAATGGGATCATTCAGCACTCTTGTGCACCCCAGTAATTCGAAACCCTGCTGGATGGGATATTGTGACCGTCAAACTGACCACTCTCTTTCTCTCTCTCTCTCCTCTTTTCCATCTCTCTCCATCTTTGTCCTACCTAGCCCCACCACCTCCTCCCTCTCGGGGCGGCCCACCTCCCCCTCCCCCACCCCACAGCTCGGGCCCAGCTCCCCCACCACCACCACCACCACCATCGCGAGGTGGCCGGGGTGCCCCGCCACCACCTCCACCCTCTCGGGCCCCCACCTCTGCCCCTCCCCCCCCCCCCCCCCCTCCCCCCTCCAGGCCTGGTGCCCTAGGAGCCCCCCCTCCTCCCCCACCCCCCAACAGAGGGGGCCACGGCCACCAGCCACCCCCTCACGCCACCCTAGCCTCCCAGGCCCCACCGCCACCTCCCCCACCAGCAGCACCACACACCGGTGGCGGGGGAGCCCCTCCTCCACCTCCTCCTCCACCACCCCCACCCCCACCTGGACCCCCACCCCCTCCAGAGCTGGACGGTGGTGTGGAGGCGCTCCACTCACCCCTGGGCTCTGGGGGTAAGTCGGCCCTGCTGGAGCAGATCCGTGGGGGCACCCAACTGAAGAAGGTAGAGCCACCGGCCTCCAAGCCACCGGCCACCACCGTGGGGCGCGATGCGCTGCTCGACCAGATACGGCAGGGCATCCAGCTAAAAACCGTAAGTCACTGTCTGTCTGTTTGAGTGTATTTCCATGTTTGTGTGTGTGTGTGTGTGTGTGTGTGTGTGTGTGTGTGTGTGTGTGTGTGTGTGTGTTTGTTTAACTGTGTGTGTGTGTGTGTGTGTGTCAGGTACCAGACAGCCCAGACTCGGGCTCCCCTACACCGGCCCCCTCGGCAGGCATCGTGGGGGCACTTATGGAAGTCATGCAGAAGAGGAGCAAAGCCATCCACTCATCGGGTAGGTGCCCACTGGCAGTTTTATTTTATTTCACCTTTATTTATCCAGATAAGTCAATTGAGAACCAATTCTCATTTACAATAACAACCTGGCCAAGAGGCATAACATTGCAACAGTGAACAGGACAACACACAATACCACTAAAAATAAATAAAACAGAGGAGTACAAATTCATGAATTATAAAACGGGTGGTTCGAACCCTGAATGCTGATTTGGCTGAAAGCTGTGGTATAATTATTTTTACTGTCCTAATAAGCAATAAGGCACCTCAGGGGTTTGTGGTATATGGCCAATATACCACGGCTAAGGGCTGTATCCAGGCACTCCGCAACAGCGCTAAGCCGTGGTATATTGGCCATATACCACACCCTCTCAGGCCTTATTGCTTAAATATACAACAATGAGGAATATTCAAATCAAATCAAATTTTATTGGCCACATGCGCTGAATACAACAGGTGCAGACATTACAGTGAAATGCTTACTTACAGCCCTTAACCAACAGTGCATTTATTTTTAACAAAAAAGTAAAAATTAAACAACGACAAAAAAAGTGTTGAGAAAAAAAGAGCAGAAGTAAAATTAAATAACAGTAGGGAGGCTATATATACAAGGGGGTGCCGGTGCAGAGTCAATGTGCGGGGGCACCGGCTAGTTGAGGTAGTTGAAGTAATATGTACATGTGGGCAGAGTTAAAGTGACTATCATAAATAATTAACAGAGTAGCAGCAGCGTAAAAGGATGGGGTGGGGGGGCAGTGCAAATAGTCTGGGTAGCCATGATTAGCTGTTCAGGAGTCTTATGGCTTGGGGGTAGAAGCTGTTGAGAAGTCTTTTGGACCTAGACTTGGCACTCCGGTACCGCTTGCCATGCGGTAGCAGAGAGAACAGTCTATGACTAGGGTGGCTGGAGTCTTTGACAATTTTGAGGGCTTTCCTCTGACACCGCCTGGTATAGAGGTCCTGGATGGCAGGAAGCTTGGCCCCAGTGATGTACTGGGCCGTACGCACTACCCTCTGTAGTGCCTTGCGGTCGGAGGCCAAGCAGTTGCCATACCAGGCGGTGATGCAACCAGTCAGGATGCTCTCGATGGTGCAGCTGTAGAATTTTTGGAGGATCTGAGGACCCATGCCAAATCTTTTCAGTCTCCTGAGGGGGAATAGGCTTTGTCGTGCCCTCTTCACGACTGTCTTGGTGTGTTTGGACCATGATAGTTCGTTGGTGATGTGGACACCAAGGAACTTGAAGCTCTCAACCTGTTCCACTACAGCCCCGTCGATGAGAATGGGGGCGTGCTCAGTCCTCTTTTTTTTCCTGTAGTCCACAATCATCTCCTTTGTCTTGGTCACGTTGAGGGAGAGGTTGTTGTTGTCCTGGCACCACACGGCCAGGTCTCTGACCTCCTCCCTATAGGCTGTCTCATCGTTGTCGGTGATCAGGCAGTGAGTTAGAGCAGAAAAGTCCAAGGCAACACAGCAGACTGTGTGATGGAAGTGATTCGGTTAACAGCACTTGCTTGATTAATAACCTTGCCTGAGACCTGAAGACTTACGTTGGCTCGCTGAGCTAATGCCTAGACTTTATTGGTGAGCAGCTGCAAGTCAAGACGCTGAATTTAAGTACTTGTGTTCTTTGATAATTAATCCGGATTGTGTTATTACCAGTTGCCCTTAATATAAAGATGTAGATCTCTTTTATATTTTGATAACAAGTCTGCTTTTACATTTCCTAGATGAAGATGAGGATGATGATGACGAAGAAGATTTCGAAGATGATGATGAATGGGATGACTAGTTAAGTTTCTTGTCCTCCTCCCCAACACAACTGATACTAAACTGATCCTAAAATCTTCCAAAACCTGACTAAAATTGTAAATGTTCTATGAATTTATTTATTGTTGCCATTTTGCTTTTGTTATTAACCTGTGCAATACCTTGTTCATTTAATCTGTAAAGTTTTGTCACATACCCTCTGTAGAGTATCTCTGGTAGCACTTTCCTGCGACTCTGTCATAGAACGCTCACATCACCGTTTAAAAGCATGATATACAAATATTATAAGCTGTCCTAACTGTTCATGGTAATACGCTGACTTGCTCAGGCTGACCACCACTGCATGTGACACTGCGAGATTGCTTGTCGTAAGCTAATACAAGGTGTTATTACCACCAATGACACCTGGGGTCTGTTCAGGAGGGTGCAATGTCACAGAACGTCCAGAGATAGAAACATATTGTGTAGAATAGATATGATTCTCGTCCTCAAGAATAGTTCTTATCCACTTATCAGCTAACATTATATTTCTATCTGCAACGTTCTGAACATTTAGCCCTATGGAATAATACACTGCTGCTATGTCATGCTTATGACAGCCTGAAGACAGCAGGTTCAAGTAGTACGGTATCCGATGGATTAACCGTGTGCAATTCTAGTTCTATTTGATTGGTGTATTACTTTAAATGTTCTGTTCCCCTGCCGATGAAGAAAGGGAGATATATACGTAACAAACGAAAGGGATCCTTTTGTGTCGTTATTGTTGGTAATGCAAGATAACACTATTTTCTTACCCTACTTTTTTGTACCTTCAATTTTCTTAATGAGATCCTAGTTTAGCACAGTTATTTTTTAATATGGAGTCCACTTATTAGAATTGTAAGCCCAAATTGACTCGTGTAAATGTGCTCAATGCTTGTACGTTCAAAGCTGTTATATCTTCGCACAATTTCAAAATTGAATTTACTATAAGAGTAACAGTGCAGTGTCATAGTTGTGTTCCAACGAGCTCTTAAAGTAGCTTCTGCATCGAGGAACTTTTATTAGAATCGATTTATGATTGACACTATGAAATGTCCCACTCATTATGGGTTACAGAGGTGTCCTGATGTCCTGTATTATCTTTCAGAGGGGAAATCATCACTACAAAAAAGTATAACTTCTACTCAAATAGACTCATAGGAATCATTTAGGTTTTGTTTCTTTTCTCTTACTTACTGTATCTGTTACAATACATATTATTCTCTCCTCCCTGCTGAAATTAGAATCATATTTATGTCACTAGCTATTAGGTCAGTGTTCATATTCAGCAGCAGATCTAGAAATATCTTCCAGTTTTTGTTTAACTTTTGTGGGATGAATCTGTAAATGCCTCCATACAAAAGCTAATAATGAACTAAAATTGGCATTTGCACGAAGCATATACAAGGCTTTGGTTTCACTCTCCTAAATGCTTTCATTTTTGATAATGCTGATGATGCCTGTGAAACTCCATTTTACAGTATGTACAGAAGTAGCCAAATGGATGCTGTTTCAACCGTATTGCCTGTCTCAATTTGTACCATCCTACACCGAGGTGACTGCTGCATTAAGAAACCGTAATACTGACATCAGTATGGAAAATGTATGCACTCACTAACTGTAAGTCGCTCTGGATAAGAGCATCTGCTAAATGACTAAAATGTCAATGTAAATCAAACTTTCAAAATAGGTTGGAAAAAGCAATGGAAATACTAAATTGTATACTTAAATAAATGTTAATATTTACAGAGACCTTGTCAAGTGTTCCTTTTTTACAAATTAAATGGAGTCCTATTTCAACTGGTAAGACGATAACAATGGATAATTTCAGGTACTTAACTTGTAGGTAACTTTATGTAACCACCACTTTAGCCTGCAACATACAAGGTAAATATAGGACTGAAGTCGAATATTTTGATTGAGAGGGTGGCAATAGTTGTTCTTCCTATTGTAGATGACTCCACTAAGGGCCCTATTCCATCTGTAAAGCTGAAGCGTTACAGATTCCGCGCTAGAAATGTAAAGGTCATTTCCAATTGAGCTGACATATGCAGCGTTTACCGTGAATGTATTTTCCCCTAAAGCGGGAACATTTCCTTTACATTTTTATCACGCTGTAAAGCTGAACTTCTGCAATGTGGATTGAATAGATCCCTATGATTGACAGGATGGCAATAGTTGTTCCTTTTGTAGATGACTTAACTAAACTGCATTACTTTGCTTGAGTGAAGTTGTACAGTGACAATATTCTATTCTATGCATTAGTTCTATTCACCCTGTGGTGCATCTTAGTGATTGGGGTAAAAACTCGATACAGTTACATATCGGGATATTATTTTTGACAATCTATCGTATCGTTCTGACAATCGCAATATTATTTTTGCACTAGTTGGCTGTACCTGCACCAAAATTCCAGTATTTTTTCTTTTTTAATTAACTGGAATGAATTGGAACAGTTCCAAGATCCGAAGCAGCAAGGTGGGATTAGAGGTGATTCAGTTACAGACAGCACTAATGTGTTCTAATTTTGTTGCAAATAATTTCAATCCTGGCTAAGATTGGACAAGGCTTATCTTTTGGATCTTCCATTTGCCTAGATTCAGACAGTTTGAAGTTAAGACTTCTGTGATGTATGTAGCACATTTCTGCTGTCCCTTTTGTAGTGACCCACTGGGTCATTTCAACGTCGAGTTTTGATTTACACACTAACGAGGATTCAATGTTAAATCAACAAAACATTTCACCATGTCATTAGATTTACGAAATTCCCTTACGTTGATGACTTTTTGCAAATCCAATCAGTTTTCCACGTTGATTCAACGTCATCACATTGATTTTTGTGTTGAAATGACGTGGAAACAACATGGATTCAACCAGTTTTTGCCCAGTGGGGGTTGACAGTGAGCAGCAGGTGTTACAGAAGAAGTGGTAACACTAAACATGAACTCTGAGTCAAAGACAATTGCATTGCTTTCATAGGAATTACATAACAGATTTATAACGACTGATGTCTGGTTGTGTATTTTCAAATTATGAATATTATGACATTGGGATGATGTATCAACCATTTAAGGGAACAATTCACTTGCTCTTTTCTCCCTCCTCCCCACCACCCATCAATCACTGAGTATAAATCATTAATTTAAATGACCATTGAACAGGAGGAAATCTTACTGATTGTGCCTTTAATCTATATGCAATCAAGTCCAGTATAGTATTTTTCACTACATGACAGAAAAATATTTACATATCAAACAAAATGTAAAAATATATAATCATATGTAAAAATGAAGCAGAAAGTTTCAGAGTAATACATATAAACAAATTATTATGTTTTCATTCAATTGTATTTTCATATTTAGCCTCAAAGTGATACGTTTAATATTTTTAAATACATTATTAAGTGGGTGCGGTATTTGTGCAGAACTGTTCTTAATCAGATCAGGTATTCCTTTCTCCCTGCATGAAAAAATTAACATAGATCTTGCTGGAGATTCACCTGCAATAACAAAGAATGTGTCAGTCAGTGACAGCTCAACACGTCCTACTGACGGATACCATGTAACCATCTGTGCAATAAGTAGATGGGTATTTCAGGAGAGAGAGAGAGAGTGTTGGCGTGGTGAGAGAAATAGCTTGGCTGGTGTACCATTAAGTTGTTTGTAAGCGGTGCTGATTTTGGTGGGGGTCACATTGAGTGTGAAGAGAGATCCACACATCTTACCATTTATTCATAACAGTTCACAACCCTCTTATCTCACTGCAAATTGTACCCTATTTGAATTAGAATCAGTACCTTTCTTTAAACTTTGGGGTCATGGACTTTATAACTTTTGTTCTGGTCTAATAATTTCCCTCTTTTACTCTTCTTGTCAAACATATTTTTAAACTGACCGCCTCATGGTGATCCATGCTGTAGTTTGTTTGGTCTCTTAGCACACTGTCAACCCGTGTGCATCAGTGCTCTAAGCCATTAGTCTTATCGAGTCAGGGGTGAAAATGTCGAGCTATTTATAACTGCATTAAGTCTGAGGAATTCACAGGGTTACAAAGGCTGTCATCTGTTGATAGCACTGTTTACACTAAGGCTGTTTAATGACTTTTGGAAGAGTGTTTCAAGAAAGTTTCACTCATTTAGAATTCCCTTCAGTTAAGAGGTTATTTGCAGCATTGTATGGAAAGTACAACTGAGTTTTGATTTGGGGTTCACTCCAGTAGGTTTATCCAGTGTATTATATGAAAGTAAACTTTGTTTTTCTACTTACAACACCATTAGGCTTGATCGAGTGAGCTTTCTCAGCTTTTACATTTATGTGCTAATATAATTTTTCTGTCACTGGTTCACTGATTGGATGCTTGTGCGTCTTTCATACTTACCCTTTTGAATGATCTAATGCTGCTGCCACGAATAGCCGGCATCAGATCATCGCAGGTAGACCTCTGAGGTGTTGGTGGCCAGGATGGGTCGTCTTTCTTCTTTCGCGAAGAAGGCTTCAGAGCATTCTACAGCTCCTTGAGAATGTCAGAGCTCTCATTCTCGTTTGCCCCGTTTTTGCCCCTCTTGAATTTGGGTTTCTTTTGGCCCGATTGACACTTTGTGCTCCCTTCATGTTGTTTGATCATCTCTGCAATCTTCCTGGTTGGTGTATTCCTCTCAGACTGCATGTATTGGAGAGGACCAGGGTGATATTTTTTTTGTTTTAAGGAGGTGATCTAGAAACTAGGCCTGTTGGAGCTGCATCATCCCTGGGCTGGACTGTTGCTTCAGGATTTCCTTGCTCCCTCTGTTGCTGCAGCCGCATCTCCCTCTGTCGGTCCTGGTTGCGGGTCAGAATACTGGTGACGGTCATCCTGGGGCCTGGCAGCCCAGCTTGAGGAGGGTGTTGTCCCTCAGAAGGCAAACTATCTCCATCTCAACCTGTCCCCTGCAGATGTGCCTCTGGTTGTGGAAGCGCAGCTCCACCAGAGTACCGTTTTGTTGAAGCAATGCCAACAGCGCCAAGATGCCGCAGCCAGACACAACGTTGGACTCGATGTTGAGGTTGGTGATGGAGTAGTTTTCTCTGAGCATCTTGGCGATGGTGAAGGCAACCCGGTCATCGGCGCGGGTGTTGGAAAGGCTGAAAACGCTTACGTGTGTGTTGGCGCTCAGAGCTTCTGAAAAACGCAGCAAGGTGGGATCATCGCTAAGGATCCGTTCAAGTGCCTCGTCAGTCACGATGGAGTCTGTCTGGAGTCACATTTAGGTTTTGGTCTGTGGTTGTCGTCCTCAAGTCCCCACTTCCTAAACCATCCTCTTTGTTTCTTGACAGGTGGTCAACAACGTTCTGTCTACAGGCTCCTGTTTGCATTTGTTCTTCTCCTCTTCATCCTCATCCTCACCTGCCTCGGCATCGCTGTCTTCCCTTCCATTTTGGCGTTCCTCTTCCTCATCATTGTCCTCAGACTCGGTGACGTCACTGTCACTCTCTGTCACACATTCCTCTTCGCTCTTATCAGTCTTTCCCTCCTCCATGCTGTCCTGAATATCAGAACAGAGTGGAAAATTAGGTCCAGCCCTAACATTCCACTTAATGAGGAAATACCTCCAGAACTCTATGCTTACACAGAATCATAATAGCTGGTATTTCTGAGACAATGTATTTTTAGATTGTTTTCCACCGACTGATATGAAAATAACTAAATGGGCAATGAACGCAAAGTCTGCATATTGTTCAAACTCTTATACAATGATAAATGTTTTGCACGCTTCATTTGCATATATGCTTTCAAATGTTCTATAACCTTTTCCTTTACCTCTGGCATTTAAATCTTCAATCAGTCTTATTTAAAATATTGAGTCTCAAATTATTGTGATTTCCATCATTGGCAAAAAATATGAATAAAAACATAATCTGTCTTCATTTTATTTTCAAAAAGGTTGGTTGCATAAAAAAAATGTTTCTGTAAAATGACTGTAATGCAGATGATAAGTAATCGGCCATTTCAATCAGCGAGACACTGATGTCCCTGCTAGTTCACAAGTAATTATGAAATTATTAACCTTTTCATGTCACATCTAAAAGACTTAATGGTTTGATTAAAATATATGTTGTTGTTTTTTCACCATCCAAAATAGGAAAGTGTTGTAAAGTGGGACATGTTACCTAAAAGGAAAACTCCACCCAAAAACTATATTTTGGTATTTGTTTCACACTTCATGCAAAATGCATTTTGAAAGTTATATATTATTTTACATTTTAGTCATTTTTAGCAGACGCTCTTATCCAGAGCGACTTACAGTTAGTGGTACATTATTTTTTATTATTTTTCATACTGGCCCCCCGTAGGAATCGAACCCACAACCCTGGCGTTGCAAACGCCATGGTCTACCAACTCAGCTACATCCCTGCCGGCCATTCCCTCCCCTATCCTGGGCCAATTGTGCGCCGCCCCATGGGTCTCCCGGTCGCGGCCGGCTACGACAGAGCCTGAATTCGAACCAGGAACTCTAGTGACACAGCTAGCACTGCGATGCAGTGCCTTAGACCACTGCGCCACTCGGGAGGTGAAAACGTGATTGCTGACATGCAAAGCATTTTGGGACTATATCAACAATGGACTAATAAAGCAAATACCAAAAGATAGTTTTGGGGTGGAATTTTCCTTTAACCTCAGATTGTTTTGTCTGCCAACAGAAATGGTTTTGTCTGAACTTGATCTTGTTTGGTCTGGAAACCCTCGGAAATTGACACATCTAAATAACTATTTGTTCTCTGGTTCAAGCCTGCATATACCATCCCCTTTCTTACCTGTTCAGGGGATTATTCAGATCTCCCATCCTCCAGCAGTTTGCATGTCTCGTCCTCCCAGTATTTCAGCAGCACCTCTCTGGAGAAGGTGTGTTGGTGGTCTGGTCTTTCAGCCTCAGCCCGATGGGTACGTTGTCGTCTGGGTCCATGTCTGTCAGCTCTTTCTCCAGCTCCTGGAGCTTCAAAGACGTCAGGCTGTCCAACAGCTCATCTTCATCCACCGATTTATACTTCTTCAGCTCTTTTCGGTACCCAAAGATACTCATGACGGCCTTGTCAGAAATGCTTGGATCTTAGTGAGGATTTTCTTCGACTGAATCTTCCAAACACTCTCTCAAAGCTAATGGGTAATGGTACAGGCGTGAGGCCAGAGATGCTGTGGATGTAGGGAGTCTGAGAGAAAGAGTGATGGTGAAAGAAAGAGAGCCTCTGTATATCTAATCTTCCAATCTGCCAGAGGAGCCTTAAAGGGAGGGGGATGTGTAACAAAGTGTCTGCCAATGATGCTCTCGCAAGTAATTTATACTGCAAAAATGTATGTTTATGCATTGTTTTCAGTACTTAGGGCAAGCAAATTGGCTTGCCCCAGTAGTGATGAGTAAAGTTGTAGTGACATATTTTGGGGATTTAGAGATATGTACAGCATATATTATTTTGAATGCTAGAAAGTAAACATTTTTAATATATTATATAGATCAATAATAACAGAAGGCTATTTAAATACCTTTTTTCTTAGAAATATAATACGTGTCACTAAGTTTTATATCATTGGTGTTACCGCCTTGAAAATCACTCATTACAAAGATATACAAGGACCTTGAGCGTTCCCTCCAGTGGCAAACTGGTATCGGGGGAGGGGAAATGCCTTTGTTTACCATCATAAACATCATCCTTCCTTCTTAATGTGAAAGATTTCAGTGTGCCCGACCACCAACCATGAAACACAACAGACTTTCACTTCTCCATGCAGAAAACACTGCTACTCCTACTGCTCTTTCCTCGTCTGATCATGTTCTCGCATAACCCGAGAGCATCTGGTCAGCGCGGCGGTGGCACAATAATCCTCATCTCTCCCATCTGTCTATCTCCTCATTTGAATTCCATGCTGTCACAGTCACTAGCCCATTCAAGCTTAACATCCTTATCATTTATCGCCCTCCAGATTCCCTTGGAGAGTTCATCAATGAGCTTAACGCCTTGATAAGTTCCTTTCCTGAGGATGGCTCACCCCTCACAGTTCTGGGTGACTTTAACCTCCCTACGTCTGCCTTTGACTCATTTCTCTCTGCCTCCTTCTTTCCACTCCTTTCCTCTTTTGACCTCACCCTCTCACCGTCCCCCCATACTCACAAGGCAGGCAATACGCTTGACCTCATCTTTACTAGATGCTGTTCTTCTACTAATCTCACTGCAACTCCCCTCCAAGTCTCCGACCACTACTTTGTATCCTTTTCTCTCTCGCTCTCCTCCAACACTACTCACTCTGCCCCACTCAGATGGTAATGTGCCGTCACAACCTTTGCTCTCTCTCTCCCGCTACTCTCTCCTCTTCCATCCTATCATCTCTTCCCTCCGCTAAATCCTTCTCCCTCCGATCTCCTGATTCTGCCTCCTCAACCCTCCTCTCCTCCCTTTCTGCATCTTTTGACTCTCTATGTCCCCTGTCCTCCCGGCTGGCTCGGTCCTCCCCTCCTGCTTCGTGGCTTGATGACTCATTGCGAGCTCACAGAACAAGGCTCCGGGCAGCCGAGCGGAAATGGGGGAAAACTAGACTCCCTGCGGACCTGTCATCTTTTCACTCCCTCCTCTCTAGATTTTCTTCCTCTGTTTCTGCTGCTAAAGCCACTTTCTACCACTCTAAATTTTAAGCCTCTGCCTCTAACCCTAGGAAGCTCTTTGCCACCTTCTTCTCCCTGCTGAATCCTCCTCCTACCCCCCCCCCCCCCCCCCCTCCCCCTCCCTCCTCCCTCTCTGTGGATGACTTCGTCAACCATTTTTGAAAAGAAGGTTGACGACATCCAATCCTCATTTATTAAGTCAAATGACACCGCTGGTCCTGCTCACACTGCCCTACCCTATGCTTTGACTTCTTTCTCCCCTCTCTCTCCAGATGAAATCTTGCGACTTGTGACGGCCGGCCGCCCAACAACCTGCCCGCTTGACCCTATCCCCTCCTCTCTTCTCCAGACCATTTCCGGAGACCTTCTCCCTTACCTCACCTCGCTCATCAACTCATCCTTGACCGCTGGCTATGTCCCTTCCGTCTTCAAGAGAGCGAGAGTTGCACCCCTCCTCAAAAAACCTACACTCGATCCCTCCGATATCAACAACTACAGACCAGTATCCCTTCTTTCTTTTCTCTCCAAAACTCTTGAGCGTGCCGTCTCTAGCCAACTCTCCTGCTATCTCTCTCAGAATTACCTTCTTGATCCAAACCAGTCAGGTTTCAAGACTGGTCATTCAACTGAGACTGCTCTTCTCTGTGTCACGGAGGCTCTCCGCACTGCTAAAGCTAACTCTCTCTCCTCTGCTCTTATCCTTCTAGACCTATCCGCTGCCTTTGCTACTGTGAACCATCAGATCCTCCTCTCCACCCTCTCCGAGTTGGGCATCTCCGGCGCTGCTCATTCTTGTATTGCGTCCTACCTGACAGGTCGCTCCTACCAGGTGGCGTGGTGAGAATCTGTCTCCGCACCACGTGCTCTCACCACTGGTGTCCCCCAGGGCTCAGTTCTAGGCCCTCTCCTATTCTCTCTATAAACCAAGTCACTTGGCTCTGTCATATCCTCACATGGTCTCTCCTATCATTGCTACGCAGACGACACACAATTAATTTAATCCTTTCCCCCTTCTGATAACCAGGTGGTGAATCGCATCTCTGCATGTCTGGCAGACATATCAGTGTGGATGTCGGATCACCACCTCAAGCTGAACCTCTGCAAGACGGAGCTGCTCTTCCTCCCAGGGAAGGACTGCCCGCTCCATGATCTCGCCATCACGATTGACAACTCCATTGTGTCCTCCTCCCAGAGTGCAAAGAATCTTGGCGTGACCCTGGACAACACCCTGTCGTTCTCCGCTAACATCAAAGCGGTGACCCGATCCTGCAGGTTCATGCTCTACAACATTCGCAGAGTACGACTCTACTTTACACAGAAAACGGCACAGGTCCTAATCCAGGCACTTGTCATCTCCCGTCTGGATTACAGCAACTCGCTGTTGGCTGGGCTCCCTGCCTTTGCCATTAAACCCCTACAACTTATCCAGAACGCTGCAGCCCGTCTGGTGTTCAACCTTCCCAAGTTCTCTCATGTCACCCCGCTCCTCCTCACACTCCACTGGCTTCCAGTTGATGCTTGTATCTACTACAAAACCATGGTGCTTGCCTACGGAGCTGTGAGGGGAACGGCACCTCCTTAACTTCAGGCTCTGATCAGACCCTACACCTAAACGAGAGCACTACATTCATCCACCTCTGGCCTGCTAGCTCCCCTACCTCTACGGAAGCACAGTTCCCGTCAAAGCTATTTGCTGCTCTGGCACCCCAATGGTGGAACAAGCTCCCCCATGACGCCAGGACAGCGGAGTCACTGACCACCTTCCGGAGACACTTGAAACCCTACCTCTTTAAGGAATACCTGGAATAGTATAACAGTACTCCTTCTACCCCCCCCCCCCCCCCCCCCCCCCCCCCCCCATAAAAAATAGTATAATAATAATAAAGAAATAAAATTAAAAAAGAGTGGTTGTCCCACTGGCTATCCTAAGTTGAATTTACCAATTTGTAAGTCGCTCTGGATAAAAGTGTCTGCTAAATGACTTAAATGTTAAAATTACATTTTGCCATACACATTATGTTCTTTGTAGAATAGGTATTCTTTTAGTCTGGGTGGGAAGGGGGCAGAGTCCCTGTATTTAGAACAGTAAAATCATTGTATTTGAACATACCCAGAACGTCATATTAAGATTGCCTTCAGAAAGTACTCAAACACCTTGACTTTTTCCACAATTTGTTGTGTTACAGCCTAAATTTAAAATGGATTAAATTGAGATTTTGTTTCACTGGCCTACACACAATACCCCATAATGTCAATGGTATCCAAGATGGCGTAGCAGTGCGTTCGTGTTTTCTATAGTGTTTTCATGTAAATAGCCAGTTTTTTGTTTTTTTTGTCTTTTTCATACAGGAAGGGAAAAAAGTATTTGATCCCCTGCTGATTTTGTACGTTTGCCCACTGACAAAGAAATGATCAGTCTATAATTTTAATGGTAGGTTTATTTGAACAGTGAGAGACAGAATAACAACAACAAAAATCCAGAAAAACGCATGTCAAAAATGTTATAAATTGATTTGCATTTTAATGAGGGAAATAAGTATTTGACCCCATCTCAATCAGAAAGATTCCTGGCTCCCAGGTGTCTTTTATACAGGTAACGAGCTGAGATTAGGAGCACACTCTTAAAGGGAGTGCTCCTAATCGGTCTGTGTATATTTGTAAACAACAGCTGGTGCACAAAATCAAATACTAAGGAAGTCTTGAGGTTTTGCTCACCTGAGGTAGAGTATCTTATGATAAGCTGTAGACCACACTATTTACCAAGAGAGTTTTCATCTATATTTTCATAGCTGTCTATTTACCACCACAAACCAATGCTGGCATTAAGATTGCACTGAATGAGCTGTATAAGGCCATAAGTCAACAGGAAAACGCTCATCCAGAGGCAGCGCTCCTAGTGGCCGGTGACTTTAATGCAGGGAAACTTAAATCCGTTCTACCTAATTTCTACCAGCATGTGGAATGTGCAACCAGAGGAAAAAAAACTCTAGACCACCTTTACTCCACACACAGAGACGCATACAAAGCTCTCCCACGCCCTCCATTTGGCAAATCTGACCATAACTCTATCCTCCTGATTCCAAAAACTAAAGCAGGAAGCACCAGTGACTCGGTTAATAAAAAAGTGGTCAGATGACGCAGATGCTAAGCTACAGGACTGTTTTGCTAGCACAGACTGGAACATGTTCCGGGATTCTTCAGATAGCATTGAGGAGTACACCACATCAGTCACTGGCTTCATCAATAAGTGCATCGATGATGTCGTCCCCACAGTGACCATACGTACATACCCCAACCAGAAGCCATGGATTACAGGAAACATCCACACTGAGCTAAAGGGTAGAGCTGCCGCTTTCAAGGAGCGGGACTCTAACCCGGACGCTTATAAGAAATCCCGCTATGCCCTCAGACGAACCATCAAACAGGCA